CGGCAGCACAAGCGGCAGCACAAGCGGCAGCGGAAGCTCCAGCGGAGACAGCAGGAGTGACGAGGACGCGGACTGTGTGGGGGCGGCGCTGCAGGAGTGCGTCGGCGTGCTCTCGCGGCTGTTCGCGTTGTGCTCGAGCCGAAGTGGAGAGCTCCCTCAGAGGCGTGCGGAGCCTGAGTGGAGGAAGCGGCTGCGACGTGACGCCGCTGTCCGCTCGCACAAGTACGAGCTGCTCTGCGGCGAGCTGCCGCACGCGCTCCTCAGCCGGTGCCTTGCCGTGTTGCTTGCTAGCGGCTTCGTGCTCCACGGTGGTGACCTTGGCGGCCGCCTGGCGACTGCCGACTTTGTCGATCTGCATTTCTACTCGCTGGGGCTCCTCGGCTCGCTGTACCACGCCGCTCGCGTAGTGCGCCAGCAGCCCGATGCAGCGGCCGCTGTTCGCTCGCTCTATCGGCGGCGGCGAGAGGTGTTTGGCGAAGACGCCGTTGCCGCGACCACACGAGACGCGTGCACGACGGCCCCCACCGACACAGCGCTTGTGCCGTGTGATACCGGCGCGATGGGGCTGCGGCACCTGCACGCGCGGTGGGCCGTCGCCGCTGGCGGCTCCATCGTCGTGGATGGCAGCTTCGGCGTGTGGCTTCGGAAAGCCACTGTGAGGGTCTCGCAGTACTGATGCTACACCGATTTGTCTGTCTGCCTCTGACGGTGTTTTTTTTTCTGCCAGTGCTGGTGCCTCTGTGTGTGTGTGTGTGTTTCTCGCTCTCCTGACACATGCGGTGAGGAATTCCCCGTGCTCTGCCCAGCCGCCTTCTCCTCCTCGTTCCTCCATTGCCACCCACTTTCTAATTCGCTCTGTGTTGTGCCTGACTCTATCCCCCTTTTTTTTTCTTCTTTCTTCCCATCTTTTTTTTTTCTCTTCTTCACATTTGACGTGTGCACGCATGCGTGCAGCGACTCCGTGAGCCAACATGAAGCTTAACATCGCGCACCCACGCAATGGGACCGTCAAGCAGTTCGATGTCACCGATGAGGTCCTCCTCCGCGTGTCGCTGACCGACTACCGCCTCGGCAACGAGGTCGATGGCGCCATCTTCGGCGAGGCCTTCAAGGGCTACACCTTCAAGCTGCAGGGTGGCTCTGACAAGGATGGCTTCCCGATGGTGCAGGGTGTCATGGCCCCCAGCCGCGTGTCGCTGCTGGTGAAGCGCGGCGCTGTCGGCTTCAACACGTTCCGTGGCTACCAGGGCGAGCGCCGCCGCAAGTCTCTGCGCGGCTGCATCCTCGCGAGCGACATCGCCGTGCTCAACGTCGTCATCGTGAAGACAGGGGAGCAGCCGATTGAGGGCGTCACAGATGTCTCGGTGCCGCGCCGCCTCGGCCCGAAGCGCGCGAACAACATCCGCAAGCTCTTCAACCTCTCGCGCGGTGACGACGTGCGCAAGTACGTCATCCGCCGCAAGGTGACGAAGGAGGGCAAGAAGGACCGCTTCAAGGCCCCGAAGATCCAGCGCCTGATCACGACAGCCATCAAGGCGCGCCGTGCCAAGAAGGTGAAGGTCGCCATCGCGAAGGTCCGCAAGTCCGCGGAGGAGCGCCGCGAGTACCTGCGCCTCATCGGTGCTCGTCGTCGCGCCGCCCGCCAGCGCAAGACGGCCCACCACCACACGCAGAAGGTGGCGATGCAGAAGCAGGAGGTGGCCGCGTTCAAGGCCAAGAAATAGTTGGCACACAGGGAGACGTTCGAGTTCTCTTTTTACTTTTTGATTGTTTATTTACGAAATAAAGACATAAGGAGGAAAAACGCATGCCACCAGGTGGCGTGCGTCTCTCCATGCTGTGCGTTTTTGTTGGGCACCGTTCTTTCTTTCTTTCCGGTGTGTGTTTTGTACCTCAACGCTGCTGCTTCTTTTCTGTTTTCCTTCTTTTTTTTTGGGGGGGGGGTATTTGTTTTCCTCCTCTGGGCCAGCTGGTGCAGGTGTGAAGGAAGACAGGGCGGACGGAGAGGGCGCGCAATGTCGCGCCGTGTGTTTGTTCGGAACATGAACGGTGAGCTCTCGTCGACGTGGCGCGGCGGCGGCTCAGAGGCAAATACGATGGGTGTCAACGTCGCTACGTTCGGCGCCACCGGCATTCTAGGCATGCACGTCCACCACCTCTGCTGCTACCACGGCTTCACTAGCATCCTGCCGTTCCGCTTCCGTGCGGGCATGGCGAGCGGCGTGCGCACCCTCCGCATGGCCGGTGATGGCACCGTGGGGCAGAACTTTGATACCGACTACGAGATCGACAAGGAGTTCGTTGTGAAATCGATCTTGGAAAAAGTTGATAACGTCATCAACGTAGTGGGTGCCTGGCAGGAACCGACGGTGTACGAGAACAGCCAGTCGTGGTTCTCGATGGAGTCGATCAACGTAGAGTGGCCCCGCATGCTGGCGCGGTGGTGCCGTGAGATGGGTATCCTGCGACTCACCCATATGTCGATGGTGGGCGCCGACCTCAACAGCCCGTCCAAGTTGCTCCGCCAAAAACGCGAGGCGGAGCTCGCGGTGCTAGAGGAGTTCCCCACTGCCACCATTATTCGCGGAACGGACGTGTTCGCCGAGAATGACTTCACCTACTCCAAGTACCTAAAGGCGCAGCGCCACCTGAAGATCGTGCCGGTGCCGAACAGGGGGGAGCGCATCCATCAGCCAGTCTTCGCCGGCGACCTGGCAGAGGCCGCCTGTCGCTCAATTTTGCTTGACCACACCGAAGGCCACATCGCCGAGCTCGGAGGCCCGGTGCGTTTCACGACGAATGACCTGCTGCGCTGGTGCTCAGAATGCAACGGCCAGCTGCACCTCACATGGCACATGCCGACTTGGATGTGGCGTGTCGGGTGCACGCTGAATGAGCGCCTGCCCGTTCATCAGGGCTTCGGTTTGGGCACTCGAGCACCAGCCTGGAACAAGGACTGGCTTGACCGGCAGTTCATTGACAACTGCGCCACACCGGAGCGTGACCCCGATATGCTAGACTGGGAGGACTTCGGCATCCCGCGGGAGGATCTCTACAGGATGGAGGAAAAGTACTTTGTCACGTCGGTCATGTGGTCGAAGGATGCGCCATACTTGGACTTTGGCTCCCGCATGTAGAGCATCGCGTGCTAGTAGTGGTAGTAGTGTGGTATTAGTGTTAGTGGTAGCAGCGAGGGGAGCATGGGGGGTGAATCAGCAAAGGGGGATTGGGCTTGGTCTGACTCTGTTGTGGGTGCGTAGTCTCACGTTACTAGTATCATTTATCTGTAGAGGAAAACGAAGAAAAAAAACAAAATTGTTGCTCTTAGTCGTGGAAGCATTCACTCATCCGCGAGTCTCTTCTGGCCGTGTGCAGGCTCCTTGTACTGCTGCTGCTTCTGCTGTCGTTGTTGTTTTTGTTGTTGTGCGCGCGGTGTCGCGTTGTCGTTTCTCATTTTCACATTGTGGAGTTTCCCCCTTCCGCTTCCTCATATATATATATATATGTGTGTGTGTGTGTGTGTGTGTGTTGCCAAGAAACATTAGAAAAGGATGCGCTACGCGGTTGAGCCGTGCGCGTCGGTTCGCGACCGCTTGACCTCTGAGGAGCTGCGCCTCCTCCGTGACAGCTTCATACGTCTTGACATGGACGGCGACGGGGTTGTGAAGCTGCAGGATATCCACGACGTTTTCAAGGATGATATGCCGCCGGCAGCGTGCTTAGAGACAGACGAGACTTTAGATTTGGTGTCGTATCTCAAGACATTCCTGGGACACGTCGGGCTGGTGAGACGGTTGGTGACCCCAGCCCATGTGAAGCTCTCGGATGATGAGGTACTTCTCCTTGAGGAGGCGTTCAGCCACATGGATGCGAATGGTGACGGATACATTGATGAAGGGGAGCTCTGCAGCGCGCTAATGGAGAGTCTTGGCGTCTGTGGCGATGACACGTCGATCACATGGTTGGCAGGCGTCATCATGACGCAAACTGACCGCGATGGCGATAGAAGGCTATCTATTTCGGAGCTTATCTGCGCGCTCTTGGATGACAAGGGCGTGTTCCCACCGCAACTCATCACACTTCCGCCGAGGGACCAGTGGAAGGAGCAGGTTCATCTGCATGATGCTGGTGCCGCATGTGCGGTGACCTCGCCGTGCCACTGGTTCTCTCCATACGAGGTATTTGTTGTTTTGCGCCTCGTCAGCGCGATTGCTAATGAAAGGGCAACACTAACGGCAGTTCAGCTTCGCGTGCGTCTTTCACATGGCCTTCGGATATCGCATGGCCCCCTGGGCTGCTCATCGTCGGAGCTCGTGTCGCATCTGTGTCATAGGGCTCTTCTTTTGGCCCCATTTAGAAAAGCTATTGGTGCAGTTGACTGCGAACGCTTTTGTGCCCTGGCTGTGGCTGACCCCAGCGTTTTGTTGTTGACTGTACCGCCCCCTGCTCGCCGCTTGGAGTTGTCAATGCGTGAATTGGCAAAGATTCCATACCACACCGGCCGGCACCTTACTTTTGCTCTGATGGAGTTTGACCCAACCTGTAGTGGGGCGCTGCTGCTCGATGAGATGCCGCAGAAGCTGCGGGTCGCGTTCCCTGGGATGGAGGAGGCGGCCGTGCAGTTCATTGTAAGGTGTTGCACCGCGGCGGCGGATGTAAACTCCAAGGGAGGCTTTTCACTGCAGCGGCTGGTGCGTCGTCTCGCGATTCGGTACTATGTGCTGCCGTGTGGGTACGCGGGGAAACCGTGGCGGCGCCTGAGCCCCTTCGAGAGAAGTCAGATACGTACGCACCTGCTTCATTCGGACGTGGAAAGTTGGTGCACCATTTCTCGTGAGGAGTTGCGTGAGTGCGTGGTGAGGGAACTGCTTGAGTCTGATGCCTTTTGGGACCAAGAATATGTGGCGTCATTAGTGGCGTCGTATGTGGAGACGATGGTCTTCACACGGCATATGCCGCCCAGTGAGGTGCGACGGGCGATGTCGCAGGAGAGTTGGCCGCCATCTGGGGATTTGGTGGAGGAGACGTGCAGGGCGGACATAGCCGCTAGGATGACGGAGATTAACTTGGGTCGTGAGGGGCTCTTCGCTGTTGCAAAGGCCACCTGCGAACTGGATACCTCGCTCGATGGTATCATCAACGAAGAGTTGTTCCTTTCGACCCTCCACGGCGTGGTAGAGCAGCTTAAGCCGCAATGGGGCAAGCTGCAGGTGAATCGGGTGGTGTGTGATGTCGTGTTGAGCTGCGAGTTGACGGAGGAAGGTCTGAGCGTGAAGTGCTGCACCCTCGTGGAGCGTCTGCTGCAGAACCAGCCTGCGTGAGAAACAGAGGTGCTGTCTTCTTCCCACCAACAGAAAGGTGCTCGTCTGTATGTGGAGGGTGGGGAGGGGGGGAGGGAGGGATTGTGTCTGAGCGATTTTTCTTTCACTGCATGAAGGCACACACACATACACTCTCTCTGTTTGTCTAACTGTTGCATGGCTTTGGTTTCTCGTATGGTGTGCATTCGAATAGACCGTTTACCTCCTTGTGTCCCCATATACAAACAGTGCGGGACCCAAATTTCTTTATTTTTTGTTTTTATTGCTTTTCTCTCCCTTTCGCTTCATCCTTCTGTTTTGTGTATGCATGCATGTTGCCTCAGGGAATTTTGGGCTTCTACCCCGATTACTCCACTCCAACCCCCACCTTTTCACTAGCATTTATTCTCACACAGAGGAGACAAAGCGAAATGCGTGCGGCGGAAGCAAGGGAGACGCCTGTGGATGCACCAATCTTGTGCCAGATCCGTACAGGCGGCGCTGCCGGCAGCTGGCTGGTCGGCACTGTGCACACACGTCTCAGCGCGTCGCTGGGGGATGTGCGCGTGCTGCTGAAGAGTCTCGCAAGACGGGCACGCGGCGACACAATAGGCAGCGGCTGTGACGCGGGGGTGGACGTGGCGCCGGTCAATGCGACATCAGAGGAGTTACAACGAATAATGTCACACCCGCTGCATCCATTCGACCTCGGCTCCGCCTTCTCATTTGTCAGACATGGGGGTTGTGTGGCGGTGCCACAGCGCCACGAGGGCAGGGTGCGGCTGCTAGACATATTCCCACGACTTCCGCGGCAGTGGGGCGTGTCGAGTGCCGCGGGATGGGCGATGGAGCCACCACCACCACTGGTGAGAATTCTGGTGCGGCCGGAGGAATATGCACCCTGCAGGGATGCGCTGTCGGTGCTGTTCGTCTCGCAGGGCGAGGCCGCAAGCTTGATGGTGGAGCAGGTGGTGGTGGAGCGACACATGCTGCAGCAGGGAGCGTACGGTCGCCCGTACCAATTGAAGGAGCTCTCAGCAATTTTGAATCCATGGAATGCCAACGTAAAGGATTGCTTTGGGCGTACAGTGTTGCATGAGTGCGTCCATCAGTGCTCCAAGGAGGCGGTGACGTACCTGCTGTCTCTTCCATTTATCTGTGCGAATGAACAGGACGCGCAGGGCAAGTCACCTCTCCACATCGCAGCCAGGGGTGGGAATGAGTTTATAGTTGCACGACTCCTGGAGTCCGGGGCAGACATCCTTACTGCTGACATTTCTGGTGACACCCCTCTTCACATCGCCCTCAGGCTCCGTAGTGATCGTATTGTGGAGTTACTCTGCAAGGGGCTGCGCGCCAAAGGCATTCCCATGGGTAGACTCGGTTCCTGCAAAAACAGAGTGGATCTCTCACCCATAGACATGTTTCGTATGTACTCTCCGTCGTTTATGCAGCTATGCGAAGAGGGCGACACGGCTGGCATGCGGTCACTCTACAGGCACTATCTGTTCCCCCGCGAGTCCATAAACGAGCACGATGGGTATCTTCAACAGTCGGCCGTGCACGTGGCCGCTGCTGGTGGACACATAGATGCTCTCAAATTACTTATGGATGATATGGGGTTTGGGCGCTTGCTAGAGAGCAACAGTAGCATCAACCTTCTTAACAGTCGCTTGCAAACGCCGCTGCACGTTGCAGTTGAGGGAGGACACCTGGCGGTGGTGAGGTTGCTCCATGAACGTTTTCCGCACTGGGTTTCCATGCAAGACATCACCGGTGCCACACCGCTTGTGGCGGCCTTGAGGATGCGGAGACGACACGTGACAGTGGTGGAGTACTTGTTGTCATCCTCATCGTGCGGGGCCGTCGCGCCTGATGCGTGCGATAATAGTGGGATGGGTGCGTTGCACTTTTTGTGCGAGTTGGGTATGACACGTGCCGCCAGCGCCCTCATCACTTACCACGGCGCGAACGTCGGGCTCTCGCACACAGGCGGTGACGCAGCCGTGGCAAGGAGATTCCTCGCCAAGACGCGCAGGCTGCCGCGACTGGAGCGGCGGGTGAAAAAAAAGACGAGTCAGGCGGAGAACGGGGCGGAACCACCGGGAGTGACGCCGCTTATCTGTGCCATCCGTGGGAGGCGCAGCAGTGTAGGAACAGTGGAGATGCTCTTGTCGCACGGCGCGGGAAAGCACGAGGCCGAGGTTATCGAACTCCTCTTCTACCTCGTCACGGGAGAGCACTACGAGTTGGCCGACCGCGTCGTCGCGGCTGGCATGACGAACACGATTCGCCACAACGAGCTTCTCAACCGCTTCTGCCGCTTGAAGCACGGTGTTGGTATTAGATGGTGCACGGAGCGGGGCTGCTGTAGCTTGAATTCGCCTGCTGGTGGCGGCTATCCATTGACGCTGAGCGCAGCCCTGGGCGATGCCGAGGCTGTCAGCTTCTTCTTATCACGTGGCGCCGACCCAAACGCCCCAGCAGGCGACACTGGGCCACTTCTTTCAGCCATCAGTGGTGGGCATGACAGGGTTGTGGAGCGACTTGTGCGAGCCGGCGCGCGGCTTACGGCTGTAGACGGATCCTGGAGTGCACTGCGCACGGCGGCAGCGAAGAGCGCTGAGTCGATCGTGCGAGCAATACTTGGGCTGCAGTCGCTGCCGCCGACCGAGGTCCTCCTCGCGCTAGTGCACGCGATGGAAAATTTTCACGAGCCGAATCGGGCAGCGTGCGAGCAAGTATGTGTGCACCTCGCTCGCTTCCTTGACCTCACCGCCACTGGTGACATTCACCCCACTGAACTTATTCACCTCGCGGCGAGCCGGTCACTGTTCACTGTGGTACGGGCGCTTGCCGACCGGCTTCTCGCTTTGCCGACGTCGACACTCCGTGAGATTTTGAACAGCACCCCACCACCTCCGAGGAGGTCATTTGTCCTCATTGAACCTACAACAGTCCCGTTGAAGGTGAAGGCGCGCCGTCTTGTGACACGGAAGGGGCGGCGCGGTCTATACACTCCGCCACTGCCGTTCAAACGTCTGGTGGTTCGGACACGAGATAAGGACGTGCTGTTTCACCGCCTGCGATTGCGTGACGCGTTCAGCTTCTGCGCGGAGGCCAATCAGGTGGCACTGCTGGAGTGCCTCCTCTTTGATGTAGGTTTGCGGCCGTGGACAGAGGCGGACCACCGCGGTTGGAATGCAGCAGACTACGCCGCTGCCGGGTCGATTTACAACGCCCTTCGAATGCTTATTGTTGGTGGGTTGGCACCTTTCTGCCGTCACAAGATGCGCTGCAGCACACCACTCAGAGCACTGTGCCGGGCGATGACTGGTGTGAGCACAAATCACAACGATGGGGGTTTGCTGTCCTCTGTTGTGTGCAATCTGGCGATTTCCAAGGAGACGGCGCTGGTGCGTCAAATTCTCCTAGACGCCTGTAGGTACTATGATGTGACGGATTTAAATGGTGCCGGTGCATGGCTAGATGAATTGTTTCTCTGTTGTGTTCGCAGCGGTTGCCTCGAATTGTTGAGTCTCCTGAAAGAGGAATTTGGTGTCACGTTAAGTGGAAGGGTTAACTTGTCGCCACCGCCGCCGCTGCTGTTGCTGGCCGTTGCGCGCCGGGAGGTGGAGATGGTGTCGTACCTTCTTCGGCACGGGGCGCCCATTGGCGTGACAGGTAAAATTCCTGCAACAGGTGCCTGCGTCCAGCACTCCCTGAGACGCGAGAAGCGTAAGGTATCTCCCTTGTGGTTGGCAGCGCGACTAGGCGACACTGCAGTGGTGGAGTTGCTGCTCTCCACTGGACCTCTGCGACCGGATACATGCAGTGACACCACGGAGCTCTGTTGTGATGCGCTCAGGGCTCTTGTTGAGGGGGTGCCGCACAATGCCTCAGAGCCTCACGACCTTCTAGTTGCGCGAACCGTTAACATGATGGCGCGTGCTGGACACGTGTGCTTGTCGCCTCGTATCGTGCGAGATGCCGCGAAGAAGGGGCTGGTACAGACAGTGGTGAGCTTGGTAGATTGCTATGGGCCACGTATCATCATTGAGGATATTATAGACGATGAAATATGCTCGTTACACTATTTGGTTAGCCGAAGGACTCTCTGCGGGTTGCTACGGTCTCTACTCGTGCCGGACAGTGAATTGGAGCCTGATGAGATGGGGGGCGCTAGCCGAAATCTTGCGTGGAAGATACTTTCAACAGCATTCAAGATAAACCCTGTGGACTACGCCCTCCGAGCAGGATGCACTGAGGGTGCTTTGCTTCTCGTTGCGTTGGGAATGTGCGGAAGCGGAGAACACGAAAAGGGTCGCAGTTGCAGAGTTTATCGTGCCATGCGCCTCTGCACTGCACGGCGTGTGGTGCAGGGGGCAGGCTACACGGTCCTGCACGCAGCTGTGGAGTTGCAGTACCATGATATTGTGAAAAGGATTCTAAGCGAGAAGGCGACTCTTCTGGGCATGGGTGACAAAGCCATTGAGGCCCGGCAGAGTGGCGACACACCCTCCATCGCTGCGCTTATGGCGTTCTACTTTGATGAAGCTCACCGCCACCTGTCGCTGGCGCGTGGGAACGTCGCACCCGTAAAGCTTTCTCCACGTGACGTGCCGTACCTTGTCTTTGGGCAGTCGGACTGTGAGGAAGAGTACCGTGGGGTCACACAGCACTCTGCGTTGAGCGGTGGGCTCGAACAGGCGGTGAACTGGCTCCACGGTACGCTGCCTGCGATTTTTCTCTGGCATGTACTCTCACGTCATCAGCACTCGTTTTTCTTCGAGAGCGGATCCTTTGTGATGACGAAGTTGACCCCGATGGGTTTTGCCGTGGCAGCTGGGAACTTGCCGTGGGTACGGCAGTTGACATACAGCGGTGTCTCTACGGTGAACGGGGACTCGGTTGTCGCCAGGAGACACCGCGCGCCGCCACCATCGCGTGTCAAGTTGACAATGGCGCCCCTGCAGAAAAAGACGAAGGTGCGGGCAGTGAAGAGGCATCATGTGTGTGACAAGGGGAATGCGTGCTCAATAGCCTTGACTGACGAGCGGTACCACATCAGCCCACTTATGCTAAGTATGGCAATCATTGTGGAGAGTGCACAGTCTGGTGACACTGAACGGCTGCTGCAGCAGCTGGAGATCATGCGCTTTCTTCTTGGCTGTGATCGGTGTTTGCAGCGGGAGGAGGTCAATCCCCTTTCGATTGTAGCGGCGGGTTTGATGCTGTGGGACATCCTAGAGGCGATTGTGGAGGCAGCAATGAAGCTGGCGGACGACCCCACGGAGGGCCGCTTCTTCGTTACCCTCACCGAGACGGAAGTGCCACCCATCATGGGGCGAGCCATAGGAACAGCGCGTCATGTGATGCACAAGGCGGCTCGTTGTGCGCCGAGAGAGATTCTTATCTTACTTGCGAAGCATTCCCAGCGTGCCGACATTGAAGAATCTTGCGATGCCACGGGGAGGACTGTCTTTTTTCATGCGCTGCTTCATCCGCACCAGTTCGCCTTTGACGTCTTGATGGGTTTACGTATTCCTGCGAGCAGATCGTGTTGCAGGAGGACTGGTCGCACGCCGTTGATGGTCGCCTGCCAGCGCGGGCAACTACCGCTGGTGACAGCACTTCTGAAGAAGACAGGACTAAACGGAACGGATCGTTGCGGCAATACAGCACTATTGCTGGCTGCTGCTGCTGGCCAGCTTGAGGTTGTTGAACATCTTCTTGCGAATGGCGCCGATCCGTCATATAGAAATTCTCGAGACATGACAGCTGTGATGGTTGCAGCCCTTGCTGGGCACGATGACATTGCCCTCCCTCTCGCTGAAAATTTTTCAAAGATGGATGACTTCTTTTCGCAGACGACAACGACTCTTCACTGCGCTGCTATGGGCGGCTGCTGGCGTGTAGCAGCATCTGTTGTAAAGAATATCGAAAAGGCAGACCCCCTGGCAGGAGATGGGGAGGGTTTCACAGCGATATATTTGGCCCACGCGTTTGGAAATGCTCACGTTCTTCGAGTGTTACTGAGCGCTGCGCTGCGCCGCGGCGTTGAACCATCGCCGTCCCTTGTCGTGGAGCGCCAGATATTTGCCTGTTCGTCAGCTTTGCCGCACTACGGCTGGCTCAAGGGTGTCCTGCAGGTGGGCCAAGCTCTGCTCGAGGAGTCACAACGGTGCTCCTCCCGTCAATTCGTCGTGCGTCCTGGAGAACTGACGTATGGCAGCTCCACAAGTTTTAAATGGTTTACCGTACCCTTGCTTCGCTGGTGTGTTCGGAACAACCACGCGGTGGGGGTGCGCGTTTTGGGTGATATGAACATTGGCGATGATTGCGGCGCATTGCACGAGGCAGCCAAACGGGGATATTTGGACGTGATCGAACTCCTTTTGAAGTTGGATATGAGTAATCCTAACGAGCCGGATAGTGCTGGGAAGTCGCCATTTGAATTAGCTGCAGTTAATCAACATGTGGACTGCGCCTTGGTTTTACTCGCCCGTACCAAAATTGACGTTGTGAAGTTGAAGACGCCGGATGGGAAGGGCGGGGAGAGTCCACTGCGTCGCATCGCCGTTACTGGTGGGGCGGAGGTCCTCGTCGCGTTGGTGGAGGCGGCGCGGCAGCAACACCAGCAGGGTGGCATGGGTTGGTCTTCGGTGGCGTCGCAACTGCTTGATGCACTCGATACTCCCGACTCTACAGGCATGACTGCGTTCGAGTGTGCTGTGGCCATGGGGAACGCCGCGGGGGTGCTGCGCGTGGCCCAGACGCTGCAGCGGTTAGCGGCCTGGTCGAAACGGAACGTCGCCTTGACGATTTCAAACTCGGTGCTCCTCCAGCTCCCTAACGCTTCCCCTATGGTGCGTGTTCTTTTGTACGACGTGTTTAACGTCCCAGATGTGGCTATGTGTGTTGGATTTGATCAGAAGCGTGCGGGGCGGCTGAAATTTGCAGATGTTCGACTTCTTGGCATCAATGCTTTGAAGAGGGATGCATTCTGCGCCCCCGAGGTTGCGGGTGTATTCACACTGGATCACGAGATCACCGTCGCCTCCTCTCTGTTGAAGAGACTGCGGTTTAAGATACGGTACAAGCCACGCCCTCTGGCGGAGAAGACTTCAGACGAGCAGGTCCAGTTGATTCAGTGGCTTACTTCGTCACTTGTCCTTTCGAGTTATGAGGACTGGGGCGGGGACACTGCCATCGATACAGTGGAGCTGGAGCTGGTGTCACACCGGTCAGAGGAGTTTGCTGAATTGTCAGGTGGCGGCCACCTGCAGCATTCTGTATACGTGGATGCCCGCCGACTGCTGACGCCGAACCTACAGAGTGAATTCCAATTTGCAAAGAGGAACGAGGTACTGAGGTTGCGGAGTGAAGCCGAGGACCTTTGCCGCTCACTGACACAGAAGATGTGGCTGCTCCCACACCCCGCTTTCTCCAAGGGGCGAGTGGCGGTGGATTGGGGCGGTGGTGGTGGTGGTGGTGGCGGCGGTAGCAGCAGCAGCAGTGTGGTGACGATGGCTGCGGCTGTGACACGCCTCATCAGCGACGGCCTTGCGCGTGTCGCGGTGTTCCTTGATGGAAGGCTGAAAGACTGCCTCGACGGCGTCAGCGCGGCGGATGTTGCTTCCGTGACTGCGGCATCCGAAGGAAGTGACGTTGGGGCGAGCATCCTTTTCCGCTACACACACAATCCAGTGCGAAGCCGTCACCCTAGTGTGGGTGATGGGTGCGTCATTCTGTTTGGCGATGACGCGATACAGGACGTGGACCAGGCGCTCCATTCTGCCCTTTACAACAGGATCCAGGCCGACGTGAATCTTGTCCACGTAAGTTTTATCCGTGACGCGTTTGTGGCATATATTCAGCAGCATGTCGGCACGCGAATGAGCGGAGAGAGAGTAAACTTCAAGCTAGAGGTGGAGGACAGCGCCCTGCACGAGCTTCCGCCCCATCTTCTAAAGGCCATGATGACGGACGCAGCTGAGGCTGTCGCATCGCTGATTTCGGATTCAACCACCGGTATGCGAGCCTTGCACTCTTCCCGCATTGTGGCCGATTACATCGCGCGAAGCTTCCGTTTAGTGGTCGTCCTCTTCTCTTCAAAGCGGACCCCGGTGGCGGAGTACTTGGAGGGAAAACTAATGTTGTGCCTCAACCGCCAGCTCGCGCCGACACGGTCTGATATATACGGCTGCCTCCGCAGCAGCGCAGTGCGGGATGGGGTGGAGCGTTTGAAGGCGGCGCTACCTCGTTTGGTGGCGGACGCCGGCCATCGCCTCAACGCCTGCCTTCCCTCAGCAACACTGGTTCTCGACTCTACATCTTTTATTGAGGGACAGGATGACGAATTTGTTCTGTCGACACTGAGTCTGCTTTGTCATAACCAGGGCGCATTGGTTTTGCAACCGCTCGTGGAGGGCGTTTCTATTGGCTGGGACACCCGTTTGGGTGTTGTTGTTCGCCGCCATGTGCGTCAAATAACGGTATCGCTTGAGACGTGTGGGGATGCGACGTGTGTGCTGTACGATAGTGGGAATCTCGTTTACAGATGCCCACTTCATTGCGTGGAGAGGGGTGTGCATGCGACTTCTTCTTGGCAGTTTCTCTCCTCAGAGCAGATCGCATCGCTGCTGCTAATTCAGCTCACTGCGGTGGATTCCTCGGTTCCTGAGCTCATCGACACAACCAAACCCTTCGCTTGCTGGTCACAGATCAACGGCCTTTGCACAAAAATTGTGAATGCAGGTTCGCGAAATTGTCTTGTGCAGGTAACGACGCGCAACATCTTAAACCGCAGGCTGGGGCACATGGTGGGCAGTGGCCTCAGTCTTGTTGGGAAGTGGCGCTCTGTTCGGGTCAGCGAGACGGGGGGTGGGGTGCGCTTCACCGCGCCGAGCAGGGCCGGGTATTATTACCAGCACGTGCTGATGGCTGGGAAGCCGCTGTTCAACTCCCCACTACTTGTTCGAGTGCGGCCGCGCGCAGTGCACCTGCCACGCACGAAGGTGCTCTCAAAATTCAACACAGTGGTGGTGGGGCGACCTTTCCGCGTTATGTTGCGCCTCCGAGACAGATACGGCAACAGGATAGAGGCACCTGCACCCATCGACGTTGACACAGACAGCACTGGGGCCGCAAGGGTCATTGGATGGAAGCGCCGCCGTGTGGACCTTGTCGAG